GGCTGCTGTGCTCGCTGGCGGAATCCATGCCGGAGTTGTCCATCGCGACGCGAACACCTAAAGCACTGCACCAGAGTCCATCACCCAGAAGAGATGTCGTAACAGTGAGGGTTCGGATGTTGTTTGGCCGGGCGGGGCGTTGTGCGCACGGGGTACACTCTGTACTCGACTGGTGCGGACACGACCGGTACACTCGCCGGGTACAAATGTAATAAATAAAAACATTTGGAAAAAGTGCTGCAAGTGCCGGGAGGCGGGGCTTGTTTCGTCACGCACTCGCCACGGCCTATTGGATAGAGCGGCTGCGCCTCAAACGTCCATTGGTGCCCTTCTACGCGACTTCAGCTACCGCCCACCCTCCGCTACTGAAAGAACTTAGTTTCTTTGTAGCTTTGAGGGCGGATGCAAGAGAACTTGAAATATGAGCTGTGACGTATTGATAAAGAATGTCACCGGGCTGTCGCTGCGGAATCAATACGAGGTGTGCGGGCCGCTTTTTATTCCATACCAATGCACTTCTTTGTTTTAAAACGGACGAACGAACAAGGACACTACAAAAAAATTAAACGCCATTTTTATTAAACACAACAAGAATAACTGACATTTTAACCAAACAAATTCTCTCTATATGAACGACCAGAACTTTAAAATCGAAGCGATTTTATTGATTAGACTTTCTTAACGATAAAGAAGACGCTTAGGTACACCAGACATCAGGTTATCAACTGTCAATATTGATTAAAAGCTTGGATATTACCAAGTACATAGATTGGTGTTTTAGATTATTTCTATTCGCTTGAGTACCTCATAAACAATCAACGTTTTCAAAGTCATTCCATCAATTTTGCAACATTTTATAAATAATGATTCTATACCTACCAAGATACAGACAGTGCACCAAAAGTAGTTGTTTTAACGAGGCTTAATTTTAGGCTACAAAACAATTTTAAATTATACTATTATACCTACATAAGGTTCATTTAATAGTTATTTATTGTATAAGTGTTTTAGAAAGCATTTTATGTCTACCCAAGGCAATTACCAGGGCATCATTAAGTTTGAGTAAAACACTTTTTTTAGCTTACAATTGGTAATATACATAATATTAGTATGTTTGTGATTAAATAATAAATTTAGACTTGTCATCGTTGACTTTACTTAAGTTTTTGCATAGGTAGTATGTAATTTCGTTAGGGCATATTTTTTTCAAGTCATCTTTTACTCTATCTTGAAACATTAAAATTACCTAACTTTTCCTACAAAAGAGGCGATCTTATTCTAAAGCGCTTGTAAGTTTCAAAATCTATTTCGTTTATAGGTCCATCTTTCCCGGAATTACCCTATGTCGAAATAATACCTTACTTACTTGAGAATTTTTGTAGACATGTAAGTATATTAAAAAATCCATAATTGTACCGCATCAGTTGTTAATAGGTGTACTTGACTATAAAGTTATACAGAAATCTTACACTTTATTATTTAAAACAAATAAAAGTCTATTTACATAATCGGAGGTTAAAGAAACTTATATGCATTTAAAAAATCCTTCTCGAAAAATAAAATAAAATAAAATTGTATTCTGGTATGTATAAGAATAAAAAGAGTAAAGAGACAATATGCACATATTTCTTTGTTATAGTTTTATAAATTCAATGTTTTTAAGAAATCGAAAAAAGTTCAAACTATTGAAATGCAACATACAGTACGTTTTCTGATTTTTTATTATTTATTTCAATTTAATTTTAGTCATATTTTCGAACAAAGTTCAACAAGAACAAATGTTAGAAATAAAATTATTAACACTCCTCAGCATATTGTTTTAAAAACAGCACTTGCCAAACAAACAACTATACCAGTTTTAATAAAAAAATATCGGATCTTTTTTAACATATACGACGTCGAAGTTGGGTTTGCAAAATTGATTATGAACGAACCCAACAAGATTACCAAGATGAAGATTATGAAGATGGTTAACTTTGTGCATACCTACTACTAAAATTGTAATTGTAAGGTTATGTTGATTTGTTTATGTGTTCATGATGTCTTCTACGGCCAACTGCGACGTCCAATTTTAAAAAAAGACCCTTTATAATTGTTTATTCAAGTTTTAGCACTAGTTAAAGAAAGCTAAATTTAAAAATTTTAGGTGTGTTAGGTTACCTATAAAATTTCTTAAAAATTCGTACACAAATGTAAAATAAGACGTTTTTCGAGTAAAAACCTCTCACTTGAATGTCTAAAAAATGTTGGGCATTTGGTTTCACGAGTCGAGACAATCTAGCCAAGCCTCGAGTATATCGAGTTCCGAAATTACAAGTCAACGCTCCTTTACACTAAAACCTTTCGACCGGTCCGAGTTCTTGTTAAAATCGTCTGCCCACTCACATGTCCAAATCAGTGTGCATCGACAGATTTTTTACAAATTACGTCTTATCCGTCTTATGTCAGTATTATCAATAAATCAAATGTCTAAAAAACGTCGCACGAGTTAGTTGTGGTCGCCCACACGTCGACATCTTAATTGAAGGCAAGTCAAGATTTCATTCGAAAGAAGCCACTTCCGGTCCCCGTACGTCAAAATTAAGCTTCGATCTGGTGGTCAGTAGGTTAGTGATGCGACACATTGGACCAAAATAACCCCTGTTCATGTCTGTATCTCTCACTTGTAACGAAGATACGGCTGATCCACTAAAGCAGGGCGCTTTTCACCCCTCATAACTCCCGTTATTATTTTCACGAAGCACTCTTCTTCCCTCGTGGCTTGTAGCGGGATCTATAGCGCGCGGCCGTGATTTTTTATTTCCACTGCGAGGATGTACACACTTTTTTAATCGGTTTATTGTGTGGAAACAAATTTAAAACGGAAAATTAATCGTGTCCTGCAATTTTACAAATTTTATAATTGCTATTTTCATATCGCTATTGTGCGGCTGATTTCTCATTAATACTACACTGTCATAGCTTATTCATGAATGCGATTAATATTTTTACAAATATAGGTAATTGTGTTTGGCTATCTGACATTCAGCTATTGTTTATGCTGACCACTAACACGTCAGATAATAGGAGGGTTGATTCATAATAGAAGCACACTCAATTCCAGCTTTTCGATCTAGTTTCAATCCCCCATAATCGGTTTTTACAGTCTAATCTGTGCATTAGACAGTTATCTATTCATACTCTAATAACGCCAACATCCAATGCAAAATCTGTTTATACGGAATTTTTTCTACCACCTAACGAATGGCCAAGACGGTGCATAGTTCATCAATCGATACATTCTATTTGCCCATAAATAATAGATTCGCAAGATAGATGGCCGACATAATTCACATTCAAACTCTTCACTCGCATTTATTTCTGTTAGGACAGACTTTAAAATGAGCATTTTGTATACTTTATGAGTAATTGTTACGAGCTGCTTCGACATTTTATGATCTACACGTGGACACGTTATTATTATGGGGTTCCATATGTTGGACCTTTGTGTGGTCTAAATATTTTTAAATAAAGCAAAATAAGAGTAAATTTTTAATTTTATGGATTTTTCTGATATCAACCATGTGACCTGATTTAAGGCAGCATGCAAAATAAAACCATAAAGATAAAAAATATTACATTGCAATGCAGCTTAAATATTCTTTCCAAGGACAATTCCCTCAAACAAAAATTTCCCCGATTTTTACTTTTTAATTGGAGCTGAGTACTCACTATCGACAATATCTGGGAATAAATTTATTATTTTAATGTGAGAATTAAATTAAGCCATCATTAATTTAATAATGAAGCCAAAAGTCTGCAATTACACTGGCATAATTATAGGAATTAAATCAATTTAAACGCGAAAGATTCTGCTCATAGCCATGCCAATATTATTTCAGTTTATGAATAATAATTAATGATTGAGTTTGCGTTATAAGACGATGATGGAAACATTGTTAGTATAATTCGGTGTTATACCGAAAATCAAAGCCTAACGCAACCATCAGTGTCAAAGCTCTCCAATACTTGAATATAACGACATATTGATATAATCCCGTTTATCTAACATGCACATCGGGCATTGTTTCCCACATCATTGTTGCATCACCTGCAAATGCATTGTGCACCACCACGATCACAATAACCTCAACTATAACAGCCATAGTACATTATTTCCACGATAAAGTATGCTGGAACCTATGTGCTAACAGTGATAACTTTACAAACTCCTTCCAGTAATAATTAATTCATCTCGGAGTAATTTAGATAATTTCACCGGAGAAATATTGCTTTTCCGGCGGATGTTATTCAAAAACTTGTCTAGACGGCTTCTAAAAGACACAAAGTTTATTAATAAAATTCAATAAAAATGCATTTTCGAGCACGGTATTTTGCATTATTTCCAAACGGAAATTAAATCAAACGGTTTTCGATTGTGTCCCGAATCAGCAAAAACAATATTTGATTTTTTAAGCTTAATTAAAAATAAATTAATTCTAGGAGAATACAATGCCACGAACGGAAGCACAAATTAACCTTTAACAGCGTTCAAATTTGCCGTTTGAGAATTTCTTCCAACTGACACCTCTTGACATAAAAATTCTAATAGTGCAGCAATTAATCTTTAATTAATATTCAACTTTCTACATAAATGCATCACGACGAGCGAAGAGAGCAAACCATAATTATAATTTATTAACAGTGGATTTTATTATGATGTAAGCTGCGAGTCGATTTTTAGGGCTCTTCCATTCATTAGGTTTAAGGTGTGT